GAATGTCTTTAATCAGTGTGTTTCCCCTTGCTCTCCGGGAGGTGTTGCTGCAAGCGGGAAAGGAGTCCTGGCTCCCTTTCCTGGGGTTCTGGGTGAGAAACACGGGTCGGGGGCTCAGAGGGATCTGCTATGGGGGCTTAGGTGGGTCCTGGGACACGACTCTTAAACCAGGGACTATAAATAGCCAAAGGCCCAGATAGAAGGGGGAAGTTTTTTTTTAAAAATAGCTTCAGTCAAGCTCAACAGCTGAGCCCTGACAGTCATGAGGCTCAGCCGGAATTATCACCCCACCCCCTCATCGAGCCGTTCCAGGGTGGTGGGCAGTGTAACAGCCACTAAGTTTGGGGGGGGGGTCTGGTTTTGCAGCTGTGTGACCTCAGACAAGTGGCTTCAACAGTGTTTTGCATGGCCTTGGGGAGAGGGTGAGTAGGCATGGCGCCACCTACAGTTCCCTCTGGATCACCATGAGACCGCGACACAGACACTGCACACGAACTGGTTGGTACCCGTCAGCCTGCAGGTGCCAGGTGCTTCACAGTTGCCACAGGGCTGGCGTCTTTCACACCTGTCAGCCACTAGGCTGACTTTCAGCAAGCAGTGGGGACAGAAGGCTAGGGGAGCAGCCCTCTGCCTGCAGGCCAGTGAAAAGCTGGCCTCACTTGAGGCTTCGGCAGATTTGACTGATAAGGTAGGCATTCTACCCAAAAGTCGACAATTTACTACTCAATTTTACTTTACTATCTGGGAGCTCCAGAGTGAGAAAAGCGGAGTTAAGTCACTTAGAAACAATAGCCTGAGGGGCCAGCAAGCCGGTTTGGATAGTAAAGGCCCCAAAGCCAACAACCTGAGCTCCACCCCCTGGATCCACGTGGTAGGAGAGAACAATTCTCCAAGGTTGTCCTCTGATCTCCACTTGTATGCTGTGACAAACACCCCCTCCCTATTAAAAAAAATTAAAAATATCCCTGGCAGGAATAAGGCAGCAACTTTGGGAAAGTCTTTAAAAAGTTAAAACAAAAAGGGTCCGCCCGCAGTCCAGGCGGTGTGCAGAGCAGAGATGAAACAGTCCACTCTCGGCCTCGCAGGCACATGCTGCGCTTAGCACCACCCCCACACCCTGGCAGAGTGACCCACACGCAGAGGCAGTTAAGTGGAACACACAATCCAGCCGTGTCACAGGCTGTGACTCAACCATGAAATAGGAAGCACGGCTCCATGCATCTCGAGAACAACTGGAAGCAGCCAGCCGCAGAAAGGAACATGTTGAATGCTTCCATTATACAATATGCTTAGAACGGGCAAATCCAGTGAAAGCCAGACCGTAGGGGCAGGGCCAGAATAGTGGATGCTCATGGGTGTGAAGGAATTCTGTGGTAATGGAAAACTTTGATCATGGAATTTTTTTGTTTTTGTTTCTGCTTTTTGAGACAGTTTCTCTGTGTAGTCCTGTCTTGGAACTCACTCTGCAGACCAGGCTGGCCTCCACCTTACAGAGATCAGCCTGTCTCTGATCGCCCACCCCCTACCCGGTGCTGGGATTAAAGTTGTGTGCCACCATGTCTGACTTGATCATGAAGGTTTTTTTTAATGTTTTTATGTGTATGAATGTCTTGCCTGCATGTATGTCTGTGCACTATATGCATGCCTGTTGCCCACAGAAGCCAGAAGAGAACATCAGATTTGCTAAGACTGGAATTACAGATGGCTGTTAGCACCTATGAGGGTGCTGGGAAAGGAACCTGGGTCCTCTGTAAGAGCAACCAGTGTGCTTAACTGCTGAGCCATCTTTTTAGTCCCTTCATCATAGCTGCAAACCACCACACAGCCTTTAGATAGGCAAAAAAGGTTTGCAGTATGTGGGGTGAGGTTTGCAGAATGCAAATCAGCCACCACACCAGGGTAGCTGGGGGTGCTGAGTGCTTGCCTTGTCTGGCTTTAGTTCCCACCACCTCCCCGGGCTCAGGAACCGTCAGCAGGTGCCTCGTGAGCAGCTGAGTCTGTCTGAACAAAGCTAGAGAGGACTGCAGCTGACTGTCCCGGGCTGGACTGTGACCTTCCTGCGAGTCTGGGAACACGCTCCCTGGATAGTCTTTAGGGACTCTTTGCCCTGGCTGCTGGCAGACAGTTGGCAGCTTCCAGGAGGCTGGGCCAGGCCAGCAGGTGCTTGAGCATGGGCGGTGACATGAGTCCCAACATTGCCTCCACGCCCCTACGTCCCCCAGGGCTGGGATCCCCAATGGCAGGGGCCTGGGGGTCAGGGCAACTCCCTTCTTTACTTTACCAAGGGTCTCTGAGGAACATGGCCTGCACTTGCTCACTGTTGCCCCAAACATCACCTGGTCCAGGCACGGAGTTTCAGTTTCTCTGGGGCTCAGTCCCAGCCTGGCCCTGAAGAGTCTCTCCAGGCAGCATATCCAGCATCTGCTGCCCGTCACCCATTCAGGGGTTTGGAAGCTTTGCTATTTGTTGCACCCCATCCAGCCCACCACCCCTTTCTGGCTCATCCTCTTCCAGTGTAGGGGACAAACTGCTGAAGAAGACTGTCAGCGCATGTCTCTATGCCTCACCCTGCTGTCTGCTGGGGGGCATGAGGGGTGAGGGCTGCGTCTGGGGACCCAGATCATTCAGGCTGGGCAGCAGCATGCATGGGGCCAGGCCCTGCCCTTGGATACAAACTCCAGGTTGGTGCTTCCTTACCTGCTCCTTTTCCACGCCTAGAAAGAGAGCAGATGGTCTTGACCACTCGTGTGTCACCACGCCTGCACTGGCTCACCCGTCCATCTTTCTACCCGTCATCTTGCACCTAGCCTTTCTCCCGTTCACTTGCCTCCATGTAGTCCCACCTGAGCTACAAGGGGAAGGTCACAATGTTGCCACAATGTCTCCACAATGTTGCCACTCATCCCATGGTGTAAACACACGGTCATGACAGACAAGGTTGCTTTTTATTGGTTAAAATCCCCGCTGGGCTCCAACTCAACAGTGCACACCTGGCGTGGGGACAGGGGAGCCGAGCAGGGGCAGCCTGCTCCTTGCTGGGCGGACACTGAAGGAGAGGGCAGCTGTTGTGGTCCCCTCTCCTTATTCAGTTCTTCTTGTTCCTTGGGGCCTACCAGCCAGGATCTTCCCACAGCACTGCCAGCAAGCCTCCCTGGAGCCCTCGCCATCTCCAATTCAGCCACAGCAGAAGAAAGATGCAGAAAACAGTACTCAGCTAAAAATCAACTGAGCCACCGAGACAGGCTGGGGATGCTGCAGTCCACTGCAGGCGTTTGTATCTCCCTAGAGTCAGACAGGAGATTCCCTCCCTCCCCTGCGGTGCATGCGATAGGGGTGGGTAGAGGTTTGCAAAGCAGATTGTGAGCCTATGAGCGTGCAGGTGGTCCAGGGTGATGCCAGGTCAGGTCCTAGCATCAACGGCCAAGGCTTCCAAGGATCCCGGCTGGGTAAGGCACGGAGTTTCGGTTTCTCAGGGGCCCAGTCCCAGCCTGGCCCCGAAGAGCCCCTCCAGGCAGCACATCCAGCATCTGCTGCTGTACTGAGCCGCTGAGGACACTCACTTAGCTTTGGGCCTGGACCTGAGGCCTGTGGGGAGGGAAATGACAAAGTTAGGAGTGACCTTTCTCAGAAAGCTACAGCTGCCCGCTACGGGTCTCATTGCCAAGGCTGTGATGTGTATCCAGGTCCACGCTGGCCCCAGGTTCTTCTCCAGGGCAGCAGAGTTCATCCGAGTGGCTGTCCCTGCCTGGCTTGGTGCCTTAGCTCGATTCTATCTGCTGGGGGATCTGTGGGGTCTGTGGGGTCTACCTCTCACCTCTCAGACCCACACCCACTCTCTATTCTCACCAACCTGCATTGGGCCCTTTGAGCTGGACTTGGTCCTTCCTGCTTTCTCTCTGGCTAGGTGCTGACCAAGCAGGGTCCTGGATTGGCAGTCACACACTTAACTGCCACCAGCCTGCCCCTGTAGGAACCCTGATCCCAACACTCTATGTGCTTCCTAAAAAGTCTGCTTTTCTACCAGTGGTAGGTGGGGTCCAGGCTCCCCTGGAGGCTTGAGTTTGAGAATCTGTTCAAGACGAGAGAAAATGAATGGAGCAGCAGCTAGCGGCCAAAACTTCACCCAGGATGTTATCAGGACATCCAGAGGGAGTGCGGAAATGAACCAGCAACCAAGGCAGGGGTGTAGCAAGTCCGGGTTAGAATAGTGGTACGCAGCATGGAGAGGCTACTGGTCCAGGGACACAGAAGCTGGTCTCCAGCAAAGTGCATTTATACAATGGGACAGTCCATATGCAGGTTTAACACCACTGAAAAAGTGAGGGAAGACACCGTGAGGCTGGGCCCCAAGAGGAATGGAGTTCTGATCTCCCTGTGGGTCTTGCCTACAATGAACCAACAGCTCTCATCCTTGTAACTCAATCCTGAGACTTAAGCCCAGTGGCCAGTGGGTTCTAAGTGCCAGGCAGACCCAGGGTCCCTGAGCATAGATAGCCAGAGATGCTGGGGACTTGTTCAGCCTGGACTCATGGCTCATGACAGGTCAGGATCTTTTGTCCTATGCTGGGCCTTCCTCCATCCATGAAGCCTGGCCATGGAGCAAGGCCAAATTGGTCCAATAGCATCTCTAACCTCTTGGGTCATGTCACTGGCCCTGGCTGTCTTGCCATGAGCAGGGTCCAGAAGACCCATATGGCACATACAAGGAAGACCTGGCATCTAAACTGATTCCTTTTCTGCTCCTGGGTACAGGAAAGGGAGGCCCAGGCACCTCTGCCTCTGGCATCATCTGCACTTGAGATATCCATTTCCTTCCAGTCTCTTTGGGCATGCGTTTGGCCTTAACCAGTACCATGGGAGAGCTGGAATAGTCTTGGGAGGGTTGGTTCCATGCAGAGGGATGGTGTCTTCTGGGGAGTTGGGGTTAGTAAAGCTGCAGAGTTACCTATGACCCTGGGTAGGGCCAAGATACAGACAGGAACAACCTCAGTCTGTCCCGAAGGACCAAGAAACAGTCATCCCCGAAGATCCCACGCTGAATGTACAAAGGCCTGAGATCCCACTCCCTACAGGAAGCTTGGCTTTATCTACCCTTCCTTGGAAGCCCCTTTGGAGTCCAGCTCTGAGGTTGTGTCCAGCTGGGGGAGAGAAGACCCTGGGCAGGCAAGGCTTGGCAGGTGGGCCTTCTCCAACAAGGCAGGAACAGCAAGGGGGCACCAATACCAAGAGCCAAGGTTGGGATTTGCTGATAATACCCAGAGGGCTGTAGAGAAGCTAGGTTAGTGCCCGGGAGGGTCAGGCAGTAGGCTGAGGCCCCAGCACCCGCTGCCACCATTAGTCAACATAAGCCAGGCTGCATACGTACCTCACTGGATCACACACAGCCTTTTTGTTTTATTATCATCAGAATCAGGGACAAACTCTGCTTCCAAATAAAAGAAACACACTCATCAGCTCATCACAGGTGGGCAGCCCTGAGCTCAGGGTGCTGGGATCTGTGGGGGCCAAGCTAGCCATGGCAACACGTGGCAACACTCTTGGTCAGGGGCAGAAGCCCAGTCCGAAGCCCAGATTCTCTGGTCACAGTGACAATTGGCAGTTGCACCCAGGATCTTAATGCCAGACCACCCTGCAGCAACAAAAGCCTAGGTCCACCACCCTGCTCCACTCCCTGCGGAAGGGGTGTGAAGGCAGGAATTTGCAGGTAAGGGTGACGCGAGTGGTGGCCCCCAAAGCTGCCCTCTGTGTGAGGTGCTGTGTCCCATTGAATCACCCTCTCTCCTGGACGCTGGTTGAGCCTGTAGTACCCGCAGGGATAGGGGAGGGACCAGCTGGATGGCAGGGAGAGGTCCCAGGCCCTGTAGTGGGACAATCAGCTCTAACCACATGCCCAGACCCAGGCGTCCCCCAGCCTGGCGCACCACAGCCCACTTCCCACTTACCTTCTTGGTTTCTCGAGGGACGTTTCTTCCTTCGCTTGCTCGTCCCCTTTGAGACCCGGCCTCGAACCCTGGGGAGGGTGCCAGACCCTGAGGAATCTGTCACTGTGTCCTCAGAAAAGGACCTGTCCAAGGATGTGTCAAGTGCAGACTCTGGGGCTGTGTCGTCCTCATCCTCATCCTCTCCAGGGCCTGTGCAGGGGAGGTGGGTGCCGTGGCCGCGCTCAGCTGTTTCCTCTGCTCCCTCTCTCATGCCGTCAGCCTTGGCGTGGTGGACACCCCTCAGGGCTTCAGGATCCACAGCATCCTGCTGGGAGCTCTCGATTCCAGGAGGTTTATTGCTAGAGAACTCCAGGGGCTTCAAGGCCTGAGCATCTCCCAGAGTCACTGGCCAGACGCCCTCAGAGGGCTGGGCATTCAGGGTATCTTCTGGGACCAGGAAGTCACTGGCATCCACATACCAGGAAGAACGCCTCTCCAGGGCTGGGGGGCCACCTTCCTCCTTGGAGGGCTGGGGGCTGGGGGCTATAGCGTCCACAAGGTCCCAGCCCTGTGGCTCGCCGGCTGCTGTTGTATCCAAGCTTGGCTCTGAGATAGGGTGGTTTGTGCCTTGTATAGGATGGCTGGCAGCTGCTGTGGATGGAGGGCTATGTCAGTGACATGCAAGGGCCGTGGTCCCACTCCTGGAAGTGTTCCTGACCTGGAGCCCTCCTAAACTACTCCAAACTTCAGTCTCAGGAACCCTCCAGCATGGTTTCTTATGGGTCAAGGCAGGGCAGTATCTTCAGTTTGGCCACACACGGGAGACTGGGAGGATACCCAATGGGTCACAAAATCCAGCCGTTTTCAGAGCTCCAGTGGTGGAGCCCTTCCTAAGGTCTGTCTGTCTTAACACCTCAGGTGTCCTGAACTCGGGGTGTCTATCAGAGGACCACCAACTCCCACACCTCCTGGCCACCCAAAGGCACAGCCCTCTCAGGGGGCCTTTTCAGAGCTGTGCCAACTGGGTCTCCATCATGCTCCCCACTTTTGTGTCTCCAGGGACATGTGTGTAGGGTCCCCAAAGAGCCTCAGGTCCCAGAAGGCTTCCTAGAGGTAAGCATAGGTAATTGGTGGGAGGGCACGGGAAGGTCACAGGCTCGGGTCTCACCAGGCTCTGTGGCCTTTGGAGGATCTGTTGGAGCCACTCTGCTGCCCGCTTCGGCGTCCCCTCGGCCCCGGGCTGTCTTCCGTAGCTGGAAGCCCTTCCTGATGTCGGCCAGCAGGGCATCGATGACACACACCTCTTCTTGTTTCCCAGGTCCCTTCCTGACTGCAGAGCCACAGACCTTAGAGAGCAGCCCAGAGAACCCAGGCCACCCCAGGGATCCCCAAGAGAGCCGGAGAAGCACGGCAAGGCTTGGGAGAGCAGCTCCACCTGCATCCCAAGCCTTGTAACTGTCCCCACCTGTCCCCGAGACCCACCAGGCTTCCCATCCTCGCCCCTCGGCCTCCGTGCCTCCTCCTCTGCCAACTGCTGTTTCCTCCTCTCCGCCTTCGCCATCTGCTCCTTCCGGTCCTTGTTCTCCTGCTCAGACAGACAGGAGCCTCGTCATCCAACCCAGTAACCCACAGTGGGAATACCGAGGGACAAGTACGGCTGTACCTATCACAGCTGGGAACCCCACTCTGGTCTCAGGCATCACCTAACTCCCCTGGGCCCACCACACCTTCAGGGCACGGGTGAAGAGGTCTCGGAAAGTCTTCATGGTGTTGAACGTGTCCTCTAGAGACAGCTGCTGGGCGTCTTCACACAGGTAGTCGGCCAGCTCCAGCTTCTTCCGCTCAATGGCCTCAAACACCTTGTCTAGCGCCTGAGAGGCCTCAATGCTGGCCTGGGGACATAAGCCTCAGTCACCCCACAGTGAGCCAGGGAGCATGCTGGTGAGACCTTACACACAGGACCCTTGTAGAGTAGGGCCTGGGGCACGCTGGATGTACCGGGGAGCTTTAGCCTAGGGCCACGGAGTCCATACCCTAGGACAGGACGCAGAGAAGCGGCTCTGCTGACTCAGGCTTTCTTGCCCCCTTGACCTGCGCTCACAGCGGAGCTGCTCACCCATCTACTCGTTCTACATGGTCCTGGACATCCCAGGATCTATGCTCCTCCCTCGACTGTACTGGGAAGAAGCCTCTTCTGCCAACCATAGGACGCCCACTGGCCAGCTTACCTGGAGGCGCTCAGCATACTGTTTTTTCACCTCAGGGATTGAGGTGGACACCTTCCGCTCTGTTTCCAGAAGCTTCTTCAGGTTGGCGCTGGCTTCTGAGCGGATGATCTCCAGGTTGATTCTGAAAGGCACCGACCGAGGGGCAAGATGGGCAAGGTACATCAGGCATCAGCTGACACCTGTCACAGTGGGCCCTTGTCTGCACAGTCCCTGGACTGTATTAGCCCTCTTCACGCACCCCCTGCCAACGCTGGGTCCACCACAATTCTCACACTGCAGGTCCCAGAAGCCAGCCAATCCTGATGACCCTGTATGGTGAGGTTAGGTACCTATTCTAGTGACACTCAAATCAGTCAGTCCTGTCAGGATACTGACCCCTCACTGTAGAGTGGGCTCTGTTTCACACTGGGCACACCTGGGAATCTCTGCCCAGCTGCTAGGCCCACTGTGACTCTTGTTTGACTGGTTCTAAGGCCCAGCAGCTGCTGGACCAAAAGCTCCCAGGGCAATGGAGCATGGAAGCATGGCGTGTCCAGTTAGCCTCTCCGCTGAGTGGTGAGACTCCAGGATGACGACACCACTTCCCTGAGCCTCAGTTTCCTCAGCTGAATCATGAGATGGCAGGACCTAGCTTATGTTCACTTTGTAGAGACGCTGTGCCAGACTGTGACCCCATCCCTTCCAGACTTCACTTTCTGATCTAAGCCACAGTTAGAGCGGACACGGTCCTGTCCCAAAGTGAAAGTTGGCAATCTCTGGGGTAGGGAGTCCTGAGGCACCGCTGTGGCCAGGCTCTACTGCAAGGCAGCTGGGATCAGAGGTTGGGGCCCGAGCTGCTAAGGCATTAGACTAGCAGGAGCACCCACCCTGAAGCTTGAGAGGGCGGCTCCAAGTCCTGCGGCAGCTGTAGGAGGTCTGGGTGGCTTTTCTCTACTTCCTGTAACACAAGGTGCCCAGTAAGATCCTGGTGACCCCACTGAGCCTGTGGATATTACCCTGTCCAAGCATGGGTAGAACCTCCACCAACTCTTTGACCCTTTGGGGCCTCTAAAATCCTGCCATGGGCCTGTGATCTTGTAACAGTTTTGCTTTCCAGAGGTGGGTGACAGTAGAGGGCCTGTCCCGATGTGTATGGGGTGGGGGTAGGTAAGGCCTGCTGGGGATGGGCAGTGTTGCAGCTCAGTCTCTAGAATAATTAACAGGCCCAAGGCCAGAGTAAGGTCTGGCAAGAGTAGGGGATGCCCCATCCACAGGTTCCCGGAGGTCACCTCCAGCACATGGTGCAGCAGCGTCACCCGACTCTGCTGGGACTTGGTCTCTGTGAGCTTCAGCAACGTGCTAATCTTGAAACCGTCTGCATCTCCTGTGTGGCTGCCCTGTGAGGCACAGGGGGTGAGTCCAACTCCCAGGGTGCAGGATGAGCCCGACTCCCAGGGTGTGGAGTAAGCCCTCTGACTCTCAGGATGTGGGGTGAGTCCCCTGACTTCCAGGGTGTGGGGTGAGCTCCCCGACTCCCAGGGTGTGGGGTGAGTCCCCCCGACTCCCAGGGTGTAGATGAGTCACCTGACTGACTCTCAGGGTGTGGGGTGAGTCCCCAGACTGACTCTCAAGGTGTGGGGTGAGTCCCCAGACTCCCAGGATGTGGGGTGAGTCCTCCGACTCCCAGGTTGTAGGATGAGTCCCCTGACTCTCAGGGTATAGTGTGAGTCCCCTGTCTGACTCTCAGGGTGTGGGGTGAGTCCCTTGAGCCCTGGGGTGTGGGATGAGTCCCCCAACTGATTCTCAGGGTGTGGGGTGAGTCCCCCAACTCCCAGGGTGTGGTGGGAGGTGGGCCACAGGACAATTTTGACTTACATAGTTGAGGAAATTCCCAATCTTGAGGATCAACTGGCAGAAGACAGGCAGCCGTTGGCTGGTGAGCAGGCCTGTGATGGAGGAACAGGGTTGAAGTAAAGCCCAAAGTCTCCATGTATCCCAGGGTGTGGCTGTTTGCTTTGCTTCCTGACCCTGGGCCTATCACAGCCCCAGAAAGGACACAAGGCAGGGGCTACCTGGGGCTACGAGCTCCTATACTAACAGGCGTAGGGACTCTCGAAGCATTTCCTGCCGTGTCCACGCTTGCTGAGCCCTCAACTCCAGCAGGTGTCCGGCCATTACATGTCCTGTGGGCGAGGATTCTGGAATGCTAGAGGCACCCCTTCTGATCTGTGGCCACACTCGTTCTCAGGTCCCTGTCCCTTAGGCTACAGGGAGCAGCACACTCCTGGCTCAGTGGCTGAGATGGGGGCAGGCATGCACCATGCTGTGTGCCGGAGAGAACTGAGCTATCCCTGGCCACTGGAGCCCATCTATGTCCCTGATCTGGTGGCTAAGCGAGTCTTTGTCATTCTTTATTCACAGAAGGGAATGTACACTTGTGCATATATACCTTCATGTTTCTGTGGGCTGTGAGTGACTGCATATGAATATATCTGCATGCATGCTATACCTGTGGGTATGGACTACGTATCCTCACTCATGTGTGCAGTAACTTACGGTGGAAGTCACTGTACTGGGTGTACAGGCATGTGTGTGTGCGTGTCATGTGGAAACGGTAGAGGTGACCATGGGTTTTGGTGGAGAAAGCCAGCAACTTCACAGCTCTCAATGGCCATGATGCCATGGCTACAGCAGGGGTTGACACGTGGCAGGCCTGTCCCTCCCAGCCCCATAGGCTTTTGGGTCCCACTCACTCTCGCAGGCGGTGAGCACCAGCTGGGCCTTGGGCCGCACCATGTCCAGTACGATGGCTGTGCCCTCACACAGCATCATGCACTCCACCCGTAGCTGGTAGCTGGTGTAGCAGAGCAGGGGGTTAGGGCCCGGAGGCTCCATCACGCTTGCCACTGGGAACATGCTCTGCCCTTGGTGGGTGGTCTGAGGGAGGGGTCCCCATGGCCTGGCTGGGGAATGCGCACATTGCTAGGCCTGTTCCCAGGACAGAAATAGGGCCTGGACAATTAGGAGGCAGCTTAAGGGGCCTGGAGCGTCTCAGGAAGACTCTGGCCTCAGGACTCTGCTTTCTGAGAGAGGATGAGGAACATGGTGACATTTAGAGATGACTCATTCTCGGAGCCCTAGGGACTGTGTACAACTGCCTTCCTGACCCCTTCCTCCTCTCCTAAGCTTGGCCCCTACTCTACTCTCCCTATCTTTCCTTCCCCACAGGCTAAGCAGGAGCCCAGGGCGGCTTTGCTCACCAGGGAATGTCCAAGAGGAGAACGTAGAACTGGTCAGCACTGGCCAGTTTGGCTCGCTCCTCAGTGAATGCCCGCAGGTTCTCAATCTGCATGGATGCCACATGTAGGAACCAGTTGTCTGCCTGCCCAACACCTGCCTCCCTGCACCTCCTCATGAAGCTCCGTGGTGGCTCCTGGCCTTCCAGTGGCTCTCCATGGAGGTGAGGCGGGTCAGGACCTCACTATCCCCACTTCATTGGTTGATTTGGGCCCCTGCTCACCTCATGCTTTTCTGGAAGGAGCTTTAGGAGCTGTTTGAGAACCTCTACATCAAACTTGGCTGTGTCTCCAGCCCGGATCATTGCAGTGACTTCTTCATTGGAGCTGGGGAGGGTGAAGGCAGGGGTCAAGAAGCATGACTTTCCCTCTTCCCCTTGTCTCCTGCCAAGCTTAGAGATGGGGGTGGCTGATGGGCATCCATGAAGCTCTTGGAAGGGTAAGGGTTTAGAAATTGGGATGCAGGGCCTAGTCTTCCCTTGACTTGGTCACAGCTTGCTTATGGCCTAGGAGTCTACCTCAGGGGTTTTCTGGGCTTCACTTCCACCCTGGCCTCTAGAATCTTCCATGAGATAGTCTGTGGCAGCTATCATACACTATCTCCTGCCCTGGGATGAAGCATGCATAGACATGGCCAGTCTGCAGAGGGCGCTGCTGGGCAGACCTGGGAAGCTCAGGGCAGAGCTGGTCGCTTGCCTGGGGCTGAATTTGACAGTAACATTATGTCCTTCACTCACCATCTAAATTGCTTCAGGAAGATGTTGAGGTTCAGGCTCTTTTTGGAGTCCAGAAAAGTGACCTAGAAAACCCACCTTTTAGCTGGTATCTGGGGGGTGGGCAGAGCAGGTCATTCTATACCCCCCCCCCCACCAGGAGATGGTCAGATTCCATTTTACCTCTCTGGGTTCCTTCCTGATGGGGGCAGCAGAGGGCTCCTTGGGCTTAGCCATGGGGAAGGAGAAGAGCTGCTCAATGCTGGAGAAGTCAGGTTCCACCACCTCTGTGCAAGGGCTGCTCAGTGTTGCCCACATGGAGTTGCGTTCTACAGGGGAGGGACAGACAAGGTACCCTGCTAAAACTTCTCCTTAATGTGGGCCTGCGGGTCCAAAGGCAGGTGTGTTGAGGTCTCTGGGGACTGAACAGGAGCCTGGAGCCCCGCCTGGGTGGCATATCTGATAAAGGAAACCTCCAAGCTGTTGTCAGGCTATGTGCACGCATGTGGGCACACCCACCCACGCTGGCAGGTGACCTGGGCTCTCCAGCTGGCCTTCTCTGAGCATCAGCACCTGATACCTAGGGCACCACAGAGAGCCTTCAGAGGAGGGCGGGGCCTTCGGCAACAGACACCTGTGACCCACAGGGCTCTGAGATGGTGGCTTCTTCCCATGCAAGACACGTAAGAACTGGACTCCGACAGGGGCCTGGCTGTCTTGACTAAGCAAATGTGGCTGCATGAGTGGTGGACACTCACAGGAGGTATGACCAGTGTGTACCTACCCTCCCCAGAGGTCGGCTTGGAACAAGGACTCACCTCGTGCCACATTGGATGGCAGCTTCTGCCAGTTCAGCTTCTTCATACGCAGTGTGGGTGGATTCACCCTCCGGTGACTGGGGACCCAGGCTGAGCCCAGGCCGTGGTCCACCTGAGCCACAATGATCTCCTCCACACCACCCACCATGGAGGGGACAGAGAAACCAGGCAGGGGAGGAGGTGGGGGAGGAATCCCGCCTGTTCCAGGTAGTGGGGGAGGGGGAGGAGGAAGAGGTGGACAACCCATGCCAGGGAGTGGGGGCGGGGGCGGGGGCGGGATCCTCCAGGAGTCAGACAGAGGTGGAGGTGGTGGAGGTGCTGGGGGGCACATGGCCTCTGAGCCCGGTAGGGGAGGTGGTGGTGGGGGTAGAGGAGATATGGTCCTTGAGCCTGGCAAGGGGGGTGGCAATGGTGGGGGTGGAGGGGGTGCTGGGAGAGATATGGTCCCTTGGCCTGGCAGGGGGGGTGGGGGTGGAGGGAGCACAGGGGTGGAGCTGGAGAGCGGTGGGGTAGGTAGAGGTGAGGCTGCCTGTTGGAGGGCTGTTGTCTGTGGAGCTACATCATCACTGGGGCTCTGGCTGCTGCCCACATGCTGGCAGGTAGAAGCCACTGCCAGCTGCTGGCCTTCCACTTTAGCTGTGGGAGTAGTAGTGTTTCGGGAGGAACTGTCCAGATTCTGGCCTAGGTTGGCCTGGACACTCTTGTGGGCCTTGTCCAGGGGGCTTGGTCGGGGCCGCCCTTTGATGGACAGCAGTCGCTCAACTACCTCCTCCAGGGTGCAAGCCTGGGCTGCAGGAAGGAAGCGTGCAGAGTTAAGGGAGAGGGCCAGAGATGGGAACGAGGCAAAGGGAGTCACTTCCCACATGGCCAAAGATCTCAGGGTCTTCCCACCAGCCTGTGCCCCCCTGCATGCCTTGCCCCTCCCAGCTTCTCACCGTCGCTGGCCAGGAGCACAGCCCGGTTCACCAGGTTCTCCAGGGCCTCCCAGAGCAGCTGGCCTGAGCGGCCGGCAGGCTCCAGGTGCATGAGACCCTGCAGCACCGACAGCAGCTGGGCTGATGCTGGGGAACAGCTCACCTGCATTAACCAAAATAGACAGGTAGATGGTCATCCCTGCCCTTGGGCAGGTTGCTATCCACCAGCCCATGCGCCAGGGGCGTCCTGTTCTAAAGCCCCTTCACCTCACTACAGCCCAGGTGAGGGGTGGCTCGGACTGAGAGCTCTTTGTGGTACTGGTGGTATGAGGATCACTCTATATGCTATAAGATGTTAAATGGTACCCCTAGTTTCTGCCTATTACTGTCACCCCCAGATGAGAGTTGTTACATTCAGTGACTAGGACTTGGGGAAGCATTTAAACTCAGACTCCTGACCCCTCACCTGGCATTAAGTTATCTGAAGTCCCCAATAATCACTACCTAGCTGAGGCACATGAAAACACAGTCAATTTGGACAACTTTGACCTCTGGAAGCTGGTCTTGCATTACGACCCCATCCCCAGGACAACACAGCCCCTGCCTTATGACCCTAGCTCTGTGCCTGGCCATTGTGGCACTGGCCCTGACCCTAGAGAGCCAAGCTGCACCTTGTGGAACAGGGAGGCGAAGACTTCCTGGTGGCTGTTCATGTTGATACCGTCGCAAACACGCTGCAGTTCCTCCTCATCCTCTGCTTTGGCCTCTTCGAAGGCTTCCAGCTGGATCAGCAGATCAGCATCCTCTAGATCTCTAGGGGGCGGGGACAGCCAGTAGAGCTGCTGTCCTGCCAGACCCTTCCCCACAGATCCAGGCTGCATGCAGCTACCTCGCTACCTCTACGCCGCCCACCTGAGCACACTGGGCAGTGTTCCTAGCCAGGCCCAGTGAGCTGCAGCCAGCACTGCAGCAAGAAAGAATCTGAGTCTCTCACCCTGCCAGGGTGCCCAGGGGTCACCTGAATATGTCCAGGGATGAGGTAGGGCAGATTCTCATGACAGGTACAGGATGGGGTTGGGCCCTCATGATGAGGTTTAACAAAGCAAAACAGTCAAGAGCATACTTGAGGCAGGCCACCATGAAACATGAGAGGGGATGGGCTTGGCCTGAGTCGGTTGTCAAGAGTGTACACTGGGGCTGGGTGCTGCCATTACCTCAGCCTGGTCACTAACTGACCCCCTCACTGCCCACCTGGGGACAGGTTCCAAAGCTTTGCACTGGGCTAGTTTCACAACAGTAGAGTCTATATGGCTGCTCATGATGACTTCCTGGAGGTAAAGAGCCCCAGGGTCTGTTTTGTGTGTAGTCAGGATCAGGGTTCTCAACTGGACAGGCCCCCTTTGGAGACTCCAGGCTGTGTTACACCTGAGCTTCGGAGCAAGGCGAGCAACTGTCCATAGAAGTGAGTTCTACACCACAGCTATGGTGTGCTGTGCATCTGGATCCTGAGTTAACCAGGCAGTCTGGCTCCTATGGGCAGTGCCCGAGTCCTAGGTTCACTCCTAGAAGAAACTCTCAACCCTTCTGCAGACACTGCTTGGGCCAAATGGCTGGAACCCTAAGGAAGGACTGGGGAGGGGGCAGCTGGCAGAAGCAGCCATAGCAGGGACTCACCGTAGCCGAGTCAGAATATCCAGCAGCTGTAGCCCTGGGTTAGATGAAAGGGATTAGAAAGTCTGGAAACTGCCTCCGGCTCCTTGTCACACGATGAGGACCCTCCGTTATCGCCCCTCTCCCTCCTTTAAGACCATCAAGGAGTCTTAAAGTTCCAGAGGGGACAAAGTCTACTGCTTGTTCAGTGGCCAGTGCTTGAAGGGGCAGAGCTGGAGTTGGGAGCTGGCCACCCGTCTGCCCCTACCACCCCGCCAGCTACGAAACAGAATCCTCAGCACTGATGTCCTATCTGCCATAGGAACCCACGGCAGTAGGAGGCACTCAGACCCTGGAACAGTGCTTTACTTTGGGGTGCTAGGGGATGTGGGGCAGGGGCAGGATTTGCTACAGTTCCTCTTTCCCAAGGGGGGGGGGGCACAGGCTGGGCTGGCCCAGCAGACAGGCACTTTGGACATCTCCTAGATGATTGGCCAGCATGTGAGGGCACTTACCGATGAACTCGCTCCGCAGCTGGGCACGAGTGCGGAGATCCTCAGGACCCAGAATGATGGCGTTGATCACGCTGAGTAGGGTGACCACATAGGGCACGTTGTCACTGTCTGACAGCTCATTCATGATGACGCTGAAGCGGTACTGCTGGCTGCACACCGTCTGTAGGTTGGGCAGGGTCAGGACGTGCTCCAGCAGGAGATCCTGTGTTGTTGACCCAGGTCCCCACTACTCACCTTGTAATGGTCCAGGGCATCTAGCGTCAGGGCGTGGCCCTCGGGTGAATAGATGCACAGAGCAGCCAGCAGCTCAAACACCTGCTTCTTGACCATCACATTGGACGTATCCAGGGCTGTGAAAGGTCAGGAGTGTCTCAGCAGGTCCACTGTCCTGCTTCCCCCATCAGTCTTTAACACACTTGTGATCTGATTTCTGGTGCTGGTGCCTACGATGCCAACTCCAGCTAAACTTACGGCCCAGGATCTTTCCCATCCCCATCTTTCCCAGCAACCTGACTTTGCCTCTTGGGACACACATAGGTCCTTTCAGGGAAGAGCTTTAAGGCAAGGGTATTTGGAGTCTACAGAGCCTAGCCCAGCCCAGCCCCTGCAGCTGGCTCCAGGCTCAGTGTGTTCCAAACTTGACAGCAAGGGATGACTCCTCATCCCTGTGAGCTCTCTCCTTCTCCATCCTGAGCTAGGGAAGTTTTGGGGTGCTTTCTCATCTGGCTGTGCTGAGAACAACAAGGATGGAGGGGTACAATTGGGTCCAGGCTGGAGAGACAGATTATAACTGGTGTGGGTCCTGGGCTAGACATATCGCAGCCTCTGGTTTCCTAGCTCACATGGACACCACCACCCTCGTCGCTGCTCCACAGAAGGTCTTAGCACGCCAGTGGGACCTAGCTGCCTCCACTGAGGGACATATAGAGACTCCTATCCACTTGCCACAGCCAAGGCACTGCGAGAAACCAGAAGGTAAAGCTGGTCTTGAGATACGCAGAGGCAGAAGCAGGAGGCATGGCCAGGGTGGTAAAGAGAGAGGGGTGGGGGCCAGGGAAGGGGCTGAAACGCAGAGGGCGATGTCCTTAGCAGGTGAGGGCCAGGCCTGAAGGGCTGTGGCTGTGCTGTTACAGGGCGTGGAACCAAGCAGTGTATGTGGGGACCTGTTCTGAGGTCAAAGGGCAGGTAGAGCCAGCATAAGGCTTCTGGTACCAGAACTGAGTAAAAACTAGGAGCAGCTAGTGGAAGGACTCGAGGTCTGACTGGGGCGAGCTGTCTCCACCTTCCTCACCTCAGGGCTGGGTTTTCCCTGATGAGCCCCCATGTCCCGGTCCCCCTGCCCTCACACAGTGGCCTCCAGCTCACCCTGGGAGAGCTGGCGCACATAGCCCTGGTTGCTGAGGATGTATTCAATGCCCTGCTGCGAGTTCATGACTGCACGCACACAGCTGATGCAGGTGAGCTGCAGCAGGGCGTCCGCAATGCGGGCCACGCCGCGCCCCGACAGCCGCGCCAGCGCCTCCAACAGCAGGTCCAGGCCGCTCTGCTCCAGGAACTGCACCATCCAGCTGCCATCGCTGCTCTCCAGGCGCTTGCGCAGGCCCGAGTAGTTGACCACGGAGGGCATCTGCAGCAGCCGGATGCAGAGCTCAGGCTCTGCGCTCTCCAGGTTGGCCTCCGTGGGGTCGGACTCCTGCGGCCCCAGCTTCTCCTTCAGTGCTGCCCACTTGCGCTGTGCACCTTCCTTCACCGACATCTTGCTGAACTGCAGGGACAGAGCAGGACGGAGCCATCAGCCTGACCAGGGGATACACAGGACCCACAGATGAAGAGGTCAGAGGCCAGTTTGGCCCTAAGTGACATGTGGAGGCACTGTTTGCTGCCTCAGTTTCTCTTTTAGGTTTCTGGCTTGTAGTCCAATAGTGGGAAGTTGGGACGGCCACTTTGTTTCTAACCCTCATGAAGGGTCTTCTTGTTCCTGGATCGAATGATAGACAGGCAAGTCCTATCATAGGCACAAAGACCCTACGGCTCAATGAGAGACAGTCCCGTTAGAGACCTGTGCCTGGGTATGGGGGCATGAACTGTGCTGCCCTCACAAGCCCCAGTTCAACTGAGAGAGCCTGGGGTAGGCAGCAGGCAGCCATGCGAGCTGGAAGGCTATGACATCGTGGTGACGATGCATCTCTGAGGCTCCCTTATCTGGCTCCAGCTGCTTCCCCAATGCCCACAGCTTGGGAAGTGGGGAGAATGGGGGTGGGAGGAGGGGCGAGTCATAGGAGCAGGCTGAGGACCCAATGTGATGAGATGCCCAGGGCTTAATGGAGTGGGTTCACCCAGAGAGATAGTGAGTCCCTTGGCATACAGAGCGTCACCTGGCTCAGCAACAGGCCTAACTCCGACTACGGAAATGCCCCTCAAGTGGGGCAGGGGCAAGTCTGGCCTAAAACATTCTCCAAATCATGTCTTTCTTCAAAGCATAACTGTAGACAAACTGCACTCTTGTCTCCTCCATCCATGAGGTTCTCCTGGGCCCCGCTGGCTGTAAGGCTGCCCATCATAGCCCCTGGGGACAGCTTCAAAGGTCAGGGGCATCCCAGGCTCTCCTGCAACCATGTATGGCTGGGATCTTATATTTAGCATCTGAAAAAGGCATCATGGAGCCGTGGGAGGAAAACGCCAAGGGGAAGGGCTTGGTGGGGCAAGCTCCCATAGCCATGTCCATCCCAAGGACCGTGTCCTGCACTCTCCGCTGTACTCAGGACAGGCATTTTACCTGCTGAATAGGAGAAGGGCTGTCGGCAGCGCTCAGGGAGGCCACACTCACAACGACTGGGCCCTGCAAGTGTTCCTGGAGCCCAGTGAATGCTAGCAGGCTGGTGCACTTTGTATCAGACTTTACTGGGCTCCTCCAGGGAAGGGGCGAGCTCAGGCACTCTGCTAGTGTGGCTCTGGCTTCCAGGCGTCTGCTGTCCTCACCCGAGGCCCTGCTCTCTGAGAGCATGCCTGACCAGCAGTACTAGCAGAGCCCCTGCCTGGCTCCCCATCCTTCACGTGTTCAGCTGCTGGTAGCCAGTGGGTCCCTCTTACAAGTAGCCTGGTGAGCGGCAAAGACAGGCCTGGAGACCTAATGGTGGGTTTCAATCCAGTCACTCGGCCTGTTTGAGCCTCAGTTTCCTCCCCAGGGATTCTGCCTGAGACTGGGCTGGGGTTGTTCCTCCCGCCTGTAGGTAAGAGGAATGTCCAGTAAGATCAGCCTGGGTCCTGTGCTGCACCTCACTGGGGGAGGAACCTACTACCCTTCATCTCTGCTTTCACCAAATCCTAGGCCCTTTCAGCTGTCCAGCTGTCCAGCTGTCTACTCACCCAGATGCGCAGGACTTTCCGACCATCTCCGCCTACCCATTCGGGACCCTGCCTCCAGCTTCTCATCCCTGCTGCCAGCTGCCGGTCTGGACCTGGTCTCTCTTGGGCAGTGTTACGCCCTTGAAGTACGTCTTGGTAGTAAGTGTGGGAGCTTTACCACAGAATGGAGCTGCCTGACGGGCCTCTGCACACTCCCTAGTTTCTGTGCTGCCCAAAGAGGTGCCTAGAACTGGCCTCCCCGCCCCCATCCCTGCCGCCATTGGCCAGAGGCCCTGGCCCCTTGGCACAGGCTGAGTGGTTGGAGTATGAACTCACCCAGACCTGGCCTCTGGCATCCAGAGTTCTCTGGCCAGGAGCTCTAGTCTTTCGTGCTGAACCCACCCAATCTTTCTGGAACATCAGGATCACCAGAGTCACTGTGCCCCAGGCGTGAGGCCCCCAGATACAAAGGTCAGGGCACCTGCTTGCCTTACAACTGCTCCTCTGGCACTTTGCAGTCCTTCTGCCCCGTGTGTAGCCTGTCCAAGGACTGTGGACTCACTCCGTGATGGGATCCTCCCTGCATCTGTGGGGTGGGCCCTGGATTCATGCTCGCTTTCCTGGGAATGTGTTTGTGGGGTAAGGAGGCTAGGCCCCAAAGCCCTAATGATGACTGTGTCCACCTGGGAGAGCCAGTCTGGCTGGAAACCAGGATGCCAAAGTGAGGAACACTTTCTTCCTCTGCCAGGCTTCCTACCTCTCTGTAGGATGACGCCGAGTGTGGACAGGTGACAGTGGCCTAATACTGTGACGGCACCTGGATACTCCACAGTCTAGCAGCTTTGGCCAGGAAAGTCAACAGATTAGACCTGATTAATGATTGACAGCCTTCATCACCTGTGTGCATGTTTCCAACTCGGCACCAGAGAAAGGCAAATCTAAGCAATAGGATGTCCCATTTCTGGCTGACCTCCATGAAAGCATCCTACCTGCACCCCACCTCCCCTGTAGAGACTATAAATCTCTCCCTCTCCTGCTGTCAAACTTCTGATGAACACAGCTGTGGGTGACCCCTTTACTACCACAGTCTCTGAACCCAGCTTCGGCCTTCCATGGGAGACCTGGGGAGCAATATCCAGGGAGGTACTGGTGCCAGACAAGGCTGGGGCAGAACCTCACTGTTGATTGTGTCTCAGGGAAATTCACACATGCTCTCTCTGCTCTCATCTGCAAAGTGGGTCGGTTGCAGTGGGACCCGTACAGAGCTAGACCCGCTGGTCAGAGCGAGCAGCTGGAACACTTGCAATTGGTTTTGTTTTGTGATAGGACTTCATGTCCCCTTGGCTGGCCCCAAACTTATTATGTAGCTGAGACTGTCCCTCAGACTCCTGACCTCTTACCCATGCCTCTGAAGTGCCGGGATTAGAGGTGTGTGCCACCACAGCTGGCACGAAGCTGTCTGAATGGCATCTGTGCATTCCTGGCCCTCCCACTCCCAGCTCTGGGGCCAAGTGCTCAACTCTGAGTCAGACCTGGTAGAGACTCGGAGGGGCTGGATACCCTGGTTTTGCCCAAGGTGTGGGGGACGGCCCAGCCCGGGAACATTTTCGGGTGTTTTTTTTCCAGTCAGCATCCTAGGGTGGAAGGGCTGGCTTTGCAGCCAGGCTTTGGCAGATGGAACCAGACATGGAGACCGTCCCATCTGCCTACACAGCTCACTCGGCACTAATGGGAGTGCAGTGGGCAGGGCCTTTGCCTGTAAAATCCCCAGATCCAAGGGCTCAGGGCAGCTTGTCCTTTACCCATGCTTTTGTTATTGTTTTGCTTTTTCTTTTCTTTCTTTTTCTTTTAAAAACAGGGCATCACTCAGGAGCCCTGGCTGGCTGTGGCTGGCATTGAATTTACAGAGTACTGGGATTAAAGGTGCGCATTGCTATGCCCAATTTACACGTGTTTGTTTTTCGAGACAGGGTTTCTCTGCAGCTTTGAAGCCTGCCCTGGAACTTGCTCTTGTAGACCAGGCTGGCCTCGAACTCACAGAGATCCGCCTGCCTCTGCCTCCTGAGTGCTGGGATTAAAGGTGTGCACCACCGCTGCCTGGAGTTTTTTAGAAATTTATCTTTATGTGCACTGGTGTTTTGTCTGTATGTATGTCCATGTGAAGATGCTGGATCTCCTGGAACTGGAGTTATAAGCAGTTATAAGCTGCTGTGGGCGCTGGGAATTGAACCCTGGGTCCTCTGGAAAAGTAGCAGTGTTCTTAACCACTGAGACATCTCTCCAGACCACACACATGGTTCTTAAGAGTTACTTTTCCACAAGTACAGGCCAGGCCTTCCACTTAGAGACTACTCATGAAGGCAGGGTCTCCCTCAGGGTCAGTGGTGCCCAGTCCCGATCTGAGCATTGACAGAACTAGAAAGGAGAGGACCAGGGCCTGCAAGCCCCGGGGTCACTGCTTGGGAGGGTGGCTCTCAGTAACAGCTGGCTGCCTCCTGCATAAACTGTAGGCCAGCCTGGCATGGCGCTGTCCACACCTCCATCCCACATGCCTGGGCAGCTACTCTGACTCATGGAACTCCAGAGGCTTCCGCCCCTGCCTAGTGATCAGACGTGAGCTGAGTGGGTGTGGAGGACCAACCCCACTTACCCAGCATGCCATGCAAACAAACCAAGGGAGAGACATAGCAGGAAGCCCTGCACGGGTCCCCTGGTATCCAAAAGGGTGGCTGTGGTGTTCCAATACATTAGGGAATCTGAGTGAGTCACATGACTCCACATCTCAACTTCCTCATTGCTACATCCAGGAAAACAAGGAATGTAGTTCCAGGAGCCAGGAGGCCCTGCAGTCAGTTAGCTACACTGGGCCTTTTAGATATGCCAGAGTTCAGGTATCCCTTGCACAGCAGCAGGCCAGGCTTTGCATCTAAGTCCTGGGGCAGGAGGCATCTGCATCCAACCCCTGCAGGGACTGCCAGCATTAGGGAGTTGATGGGTCAATTCAGATGTAAGTGGCTAGGGCAGCAGGCACAGATCAGGTAGGGGACCCCTGGAGGGGCTGCTGCCTAGGGTAGAGAGGCAGCTGAGGGGCACCTTGCCAACACCAGAATCAAGCCTGGGGTGTTTCTGGGCCCAGAGCCAGTTGGGGGTTGGGGGAAACACAAAGGAGGGAGCTTGCCTTCCATGGGTGGGAGGGAGAAACGGCAGAAGCGGGATTCCGGAACTGGGTGGCAGGGGCTGCCACACTGTATTTTTAGCTCTTCCAGAAGCCCAGATTTTCCACTGCTTGACAACCCTTGGTTTTACAGAAGTGCACACATTCCCGGCAGCTTCTGGAGCTCAAGGACAGCCCCTGTCCTACCTGGACCCCTACTGCCTTCTCTCCCAATCAGTCTCGGTTCCCAGCAGGTGTCACATCTTTCTGACTGTGAGCCCCTCAGGGA